CCCCCCCCCCCCCCCCAAACCCCTTATTTTAGAAGTTCAACGAGCAATAATTAATTAAAATAAGGTTTTAAACTATGGTTACATTTGCAGTTGAGGTGTGGTTGCGATGTTTAATTGGACAAAACTTATATGCACAACTATTTAGGTACTTTTGTGATGCTCTTTATTCAAAATTGATGCTTTGTATTAGTAATCAATATGATAACATTGGAAGGAGAATATTTAGCATTTTGCTATTGTATTCTCCAACAAAAATCAGTCATGATTTTTAATGTGGATACTTCATATTAAAATTACAGTTACTAAAAAAACAATAACATGATAATGATTTGTATTGAAGGGTAACATAAATTATAAGGTAACCAATTAAATAATTGCATAAAAAGTACAATTAAAATTATATCTAAGTTGTCATAGTGTGAAAGATTGTAAATTACTGTAATTGATGAGGTTACTATTGTAATTTAAGTAAATTATATTGTCTGATCACGCTTAAAATTTTGATTAATTATGGCTCATGACTCAAATTTTGATTAGTCGTGGCTCAAATTCTAATTGATTGTAGTTAAGATTTTAATCGATCATGACTAAAAAACAACTTAGACATGAATCATCACGTAGGACACCAAGCCATTGAGTCATGAGGCACCACACATATGACTCCAAGACAGAGTCATAAGGCACTGCACACATTAGAACGAAGCCTATGAATTACATTGGGACTCCTTGAATTCTACGAAATAGTATTAACACTTCCTATTTTTTTAAAGGTTCATAATATTCTCTCTTATAGGAGATCACAAGGTAATGTTTTTTAAATAATTAAGGGAAGTTAATGTATAAGAAGTACTAGTGTAATATTTTTTAAACAATTAATGGAGGTTATTGAAGGGATAGAAAAGTAGAAAATATCTGTACAATTTCACAAAATTTTAAGGTGTGTAAATGTAATTTACTCTTGCAATTTTGATGCCTTTGTTGATATTCTGAAGTTATTGTTGACATTGCATAAGTAATTGTTTTGTTTATAACGTGAGATCCCCAACTGATGGAACAAAATTAGTAAATGGTAGTGAAAAAATAATTACTGTGAGGTTAATTAAGAAAAGTGAGATGAGTTGGAAGAAAGTGCCAAAGAGCAAAAACAAAAGAAAGTGACTGGCAGAGGTTGAAACTTGAAATATAGCAAGTGGTAATTGTGAGTGTTGGAAATGAATGGCGAAAAGGAGTGAGTGGAGGAGAAGAAAGTTGGACTCAAGGAAACGACGTCGTAAGAGCCAACCCCTATAACTCTCGGGTGGCAGATACCTGTCCTGTAGTTGCAAAGTTGTTGTAGGGGTCCATAGCATAGCAGGATCTGCAAACTGTTTTGAAGTGACTGGAGGGAAGGACACGTTGTCCACGGCCCGTGAAATCTAATTCAGGACGAAGCAAAATGAACATCATTTACATATACATATAATAATATTTGTGCAATGCAAGTGTGTAACTGTGAGTGTGACCAATAAATTTTGAGAGGGACTTAGACATGGACTTGGTTTGAGTCTTCCAAGTTGCATTTGCATCCGGTGTACAAAAATGAGGCCTGTTGGTGGATGCAGCACAATGGCCTTTTTTGGATAACAATGACTAATTATTATTAATACAACTAAGGTCTAAGGAGTGTTGCATAAAAGAGAAAAGGAAAGGAGGGAGCGTAGAATAAAGCAAAAGCGAAGGTCTTTCTCATACACGGATCCCCATGGAATGCGGGAAGGATGCCTAGCATTGCTTGCTGAAACACATTCTTTTTGTTTAGTTTAAAGGAACTTGCTTTGTTCCCTTTACAAATGTGTCCACACAGACACCTTATATACATACACTCCAAGACAGCCTCACAGAGAGAGAGAGAGAGAGAGAGATATTATAGTTTATGATTCAGTTGCTTGCAGGATCTAGATAGATTTGTTTACGTTGTTGGTTAGATTTGGCCCAGTCACTTCTGCAACCGAGACAAAATTGTTTATTTAGAAAAAACAAATTGGTCTAAATGGTGAGGTGTGGATAGATCATAGATATGGTTTGCTAATGATTATTTACATATATTTCTCTTGTTTGGTTTAGGAGTGAGTGAGTGTGGAGAGAAAATGAAGGGCATGGAAAATGATGACACTGTTGACGTTAATAATCAAAATAACTGGTTGGGGTTCTCACTCTCTCCTCAAATGAATATTGGAGTTTCTTCACATCACTCCCAACCTTCCTCTGCTGCTGAAGTGGTTCCTACAAGCTTTTACCACCATGCTCCACTTCATAACTATGGCTTCTACTATGGACTTGAAGCAGAAAATGTTGGATTGTATTCGGCCCTGCCTATCATGCCTCTCAAATCTGATGGCTCTCTCTATGGAATGGAAGCTCTGAGCAGGTCACAGGCACAAGGTTAGTCCAAAAGTTTTGCTATGTTATTCTCTTGTTTTGGGAGACTTTGTTTTTTAGTGTGCACTTTACTAATTGTTTGAACTGTGTTTTTATCTATTTTTGTTAAGCAATGGCTACTACTTCAACTCCAAAACTGGAGAATTTCTTAGGTGGGGAAGCGATGGGGACCCCTCACTATGAATGTAGTGCCACAGAAACAACCCCTCTGAGCTTAGACAGTGTGTTTTACAACCAACCATCACGCCGTGACCTAAACAACCCAACATACCAAAACCATGTCCAACAACACATTAGCAACCAACAGCAACAACAAGAGCTTCAAGCTCAACACTTGTCATATTACTCTACCTTGAGAAACCATGATATGATGTTAGAAGGGTCCAAGCAAAACCAAACTTCAGATAGCAATCTTCATGTTTCAAACATGGGGGATGATGGAGTTCCTGTTCCTGGTCTCAAGAGCTGGACAGTTAGAAACTTCCAAGCTAGCCATGCACAGGACTCAAAGATGATTGTTCCTGTGGAAGAAAATGGAGGTGAATCAGGGTCCATGCAGGGATCAATGGCTTATGGGGATTTGCAGTCTTTAAGCTTGTCCATGAGTCCTAGCTCACAGTCTAGCTGTGTAACAAGTTCACACCGAACATCACCTGCTGTCATTGATTCTGTTGTTATGGATACAAAGAAAAGGGGACCTGAAAAGGTTGACCAGAAGCAAATTGTTCATAGGAAGTCCATTGACACCTTTGGACAAAGAACCTCCCAATATAGAGGTGTAACAAGGTTAGTTTTCTTCTGCTAACACCACATTAATATGTTTATCGGTTTTGTAACAATAAAGCTATACTAACACTATAGTTCAGTTGTTTGTTCACTTGATTTGCTTATGATTATGTGTCATGGTTCATGCATGAGCATCCTCAATACATTAACTCTTCTTCTCCCCTTTTGTGTTTTTATTGTGTCTCTTTATTTCTAAAGGGTGTTTGTTGATCAGGCATAGGTGGACTGGTAGATATGAAGCTCATCTTTGGGACAACAGCTGCAAGAAAGAGGGCCAAAGCAGGAAAGGAAGACAAGGTAAGAAAGGGACTATATTCCCCATCACTTTTTCTTCTGTTTTTTTCTTGTGCAGTTTTTTGGTCAAACATATCTATCTACTGAGTTCCGCTGTTCTTTGTAGCAAATATCTGCATTTTTTTTAGTCATCTCTCACTATTCTTTTTGGTTTTATGTCTTTGCTTCGCGGGGAATGCCATTCAAATACAATATGAATATCAGTTTATCTAGGTAACATTTCTTGAGACCTAAATGTCTTTTTCATTTTTTTTTAAATTCTGGCCGAAATTCCTAGAGCTTAGATTAACCAGACAGTTAAAGATAGATGTCATTTAATGGTTTGTTTATGACGTTAACAAAAGAGGAGAAAGAATGTTTATTCAAGTCATTCCAAACTTTTGATTTTAGGGGGTTATGATATGGAAGAAAAAGCTGCGAGGGCTTATGATCTGGCCGCACTCAAGTATTGGGGACCCTCCACTCACATAAACTTCCCTGTAATAACTAATAATTTATTTCTCTTTTCTCTTCCATGTTTCCACTCAAGTTATGTGGTCTAATTCAGTAACAGTATCTGCAATGATAATCACATAACATCTTTATTCTTTTTCATTCTCTTCTAACTAACAGTTGGAAAATTATCAAAATGAACTTGAAGAAATGAAGAACATGACCAGGCAGGAATATGTTGCTCATTTAAGAAGGTAAAATCCTTGTTGCTATCTATCAACTGGAAGTCAAATAGTCAACAACTAATTTATTTATTCATAAACTATCAACTTTGTCCATTCAGAAAAAGCAGCGGATTCTCAAGAGGGGCTTCCATGTACAGAGGAGTAACAAGGTCTCATAGGCTAACAACCACTCAGTATATAATTACAATTTAACTAGTAATTTTCATATCTGCAATTGAATTTTCTTAAGTCTTTTCAAACTTGGTTCCTTTGGTTCACTTGGTAGCAGACACCACCAACATGGAAGATGGCAAGCTCGAATTGGTAGAGTGGCTGGAAACAAAGATCTATATCTTGGAACCTTCAGTGAGTTCTTTCATATTCTCTGGATAACTTTTTTTTTTCTTCCCTCTGAATGTACTATTTTATTATTATTATTATTATTTTTTGCTTTATTTACCTGTATCAATGTGTTCAGGTACCATTACCATGTTTTCCCTAGTAGGAAACCACAGAGAGGGTGCTTTATGACTTTGAAAACCTAATCTTTGATTCTCTAAGGAATTTCATCTTTTCAGCCAGATAAAGCTGATCATGAGCCACTTTATATTGTAGAGGACTGTTAGTCCCGGAGAGACAGCTTTTATTAATGCTGTTATTCAGACCGATTAACAATCACAAATGTAAATCTTAATTGTTCACTTTAAAAAAAATCTTATCCAATGTTTGTAATTGTAGCCAAGAAAACACTGAACTCGTGTTTTTGACCAAAATGTATTGCTACAATGTGTCTGACCCAAAAAATAAAATACTGTGTTTGGCCAAAGAAAAAAAAATGCTCCAACGTTGGCACAAAAGACTAATCGTCAATCTTATTGAAATTGAACTTTAGGTACCCAAGAGGAAGCAGCTGAAGCCTACGACATTGCTGCTATAAAATTCAGAGGAGTGAATGCTGTGACCAACTTTGACATAACAAAATATGATGTGGAGAAAATCATGGCAAGCAGCAACCTTCTTAGCAGTGAACTAGCTAGACGCAACAGAGATACAGAAGGTGGAACTCAGTATATTGATCATAATCCTAAGCCTTCTGCATATGATGACACTCAAGAAGCTATTCTAATGCAGAAGAGCTGTGAGAGCCAAAATGATCAGTGGAAGATGGTTCTATACCAATCCTCTCAACAACTTGACCAGAATCCACCAAGAATTGAGAGTGACAGGGCCAACCACTCCTTCTCAGTGGCTATGGACAACATGTTTCATCAAGAAGTAGAGGAATCAAGCAAGGTGAGAACGCATGTGTCAAATCCTTCTTCATTGGCCACAAGCTTAAGCAGCTCAAGAGAAGGTAGCCCTGATAGGACAAGCTTGCCAATGCTCTCTGGAATGCCTTCAACTGCTTCCAAACTATTGGCTACTAATCCAAATAGTAACCTCAACGTGAATTCTTGGGACCCTTCACCCCATTTGAGGCCTGCTCTTTCCTTGCCTCAGATGCCAGTTTTTGCTGCTTGGACAGATGCGTAGTTCATAGTCCTCTTTTCATTTTCATTTTCTCTCTCAAGTAAATTTTCAATCCTTTTAATGTCTTTTTGCATGCATGGACAATGCGAGAAAAGGGGTTGTAGCTAGCAGAATTGAGGGCTTAGATTGAATATTATCAGCAAGTTTAAAGTTTTAATGGTTACATTTTGAGATTTTACTAGTAAAGAATTCCTGAATTTTCATATCCATGTGGCCAGATTTTGTGATAGAAATGGAGAAGGGTATAAAAAGGTTATGATTGAGAGGGTGAAATTATTAAGGCAATATGAGGGGAGACACCAATCATGTTATTTCTACATTGCTGGTCCTCCTAAGTCAGTATGTGTCCCAATTAAGCAGAACTGGGCCTCAGATATGTATTTTAATTTATCCCTTTGACCGTAATGATCCTCTTGATCACGTCATTGCTACTGATTCTCCACGCCCAGGGTCATCATTACTTGCACCTTTATTGCTAAACTTTGTCTAAAGGCAGCAGATATTCCCTTGCCTAATTCAAACAAAAGGCAGTGGGTGCAAAATTAGATTCCCTCAGAATGACTTTATGTGATCTGATTCATGACTTAATGCCATGTATCGTATTACAATTTGTCTGCTGCGTTAAGGAAAGCCACATACTTGGAAAACTTTTCACATCTTTCTTTTATTATACTACCACTCTAATAATGATTTTAGCCCTAAAAGCAATCTCGCCTATGTCCATTCTAGGGTTAGATACCTTAAGCGATCATGCTCACACTCGCTTCTCACTTTAGTTGCTGTTTTTTTTTCCTTCATATTTTCCTTTTCTTATGCCAATTATCAATGTTATAACATAGCATGAGAGAAGAAAATCGTTAGACGTTCTCACATTGATTCAGGATATTATCAAATATAATATATAAGTTGGGGATGATCTCCATATTAAGTCAATTTTTCCTGCTCTTATGCCCATGATCAATGTTATAACATGGCATGAGGGAAGAAAATTGTTGAAGTTTTTGACTGATGATATTGTTAAAATATAATATATAAATAGAAGACAATTTCTATTTTACTATGTCAATTTTATAAAATTTAATTATACTCAAATTTATATTTTAATATAAAATAATATTAGAAACCCTATCCTAAATAATGAACTTTTGTTCGTCTATACTCCTGATTGAGATTTGAACGTAAAACATGAAATTAATTAATGGTTCATTTTAAGTCATTTGTTGTTTAAAGTAAAATACGTCTTAAAGAATTATTAACACACTAATTACTATTACAAAATAATCCTCCTTAACTAGTAGTTCTTAAGATAGTTAAAGTGTACTTCTCATCATTTTTTCTTAAGTAACAAATATTATGAAATAAAAGTGACTGATGATTTGAAATGGTGGGAATAATTGACAAGCATGCAGCAACTATTTGCATAGATCTCTAACATGATTAAGATTTCTTCATCCCCTCGTGGGCGACTCATAGTAATAATATCATGCCAGTGACTGAGGCCAAAAGCCTTTGGTTAAAAGTTAAAGCAATTATGCATGCAAGTTTTTTGTTCTCAGCAGTATATTCTGCAAACTTATCCACGCCTCTCAATACACCATACAATCACACGTACGGTTATTCTGAAAAGCATTGATAATATGTATATATATATATATATATATATATATATATATATATATATATATATAATGTGATGACTACCACCAACGTTCGTGGTGAAAAAATAGTATATCCACTGTTAACTAAGGACCCTTTTGTTTTTTCCTTTTGCCTTTAACTAAGTCGGCGTGCCCTCCCAAATTTAAAAAGATAAAGTTAACATATGGTAGCCAAATATCCTTTCAAAGTAAAAAGCATCAAGAAAACATACATATAAAAGAGAAGCATGCCGATGGCAAAATCAACGTGGACAGAATCAAGAGAGTGACACATTATGAAGTCAAAAAGGATCAGCCATGCAGAAGAATGAGGCATTTGCAATGTGTACGGCTTCACGAAGAGAGAGTTATTTGGAAAAATAAAAAAGTTGAATTATATGTCATGGATGCTGCATTTTCGTGCTGATAATTAAATCACCGGATTTGATATCATTGGAAATTAAAGAGACTTTTAACTTTTAAGTTCGTTGTATATAGCTGTAATATCAGGAATTTTAATCATCAATTTGTTGCTGTCTCTTTGGCTTTAACTCTAGAATTAGGGAAAAAGTTAGCATAATAGTCAACACATGTCCTCGGCAATAATATAAAGAAGTCAAAATTAAAAGATATGGAAATATATCGTTGTGGTTATTATCCAGCTTTTGTTATTTGAAGCCAAAATTTTATCATCATTAAAGGCTACCATCTTATCAGAACGTTGAAATTGCATAACATAATTTCTGTCATACAGAAGGGACAAAATGAGTACGTACAAAGGATACATTGCTCTTATCATTTCAATTTTGTTCATGTATTGTTTAATTCACTTTCATGTAAATGGTTTGAAATTTCCGTTCTATTTTCCTATCCCTCAAATAAAAAATAAAATAATACGTGATGGGAAATAACACTTACATTATCATAATTTTGTTGTTGTTGTTGAATAGTTATTTTCAATTGAGGAGAAAAAGGAAGGGGATAAGTAATTTAGCCTTCATGTATGTGGATATTACCAATGATTTCCGCGTGGATATGTATTAAAAAAATCTAAAACAATAAAAAAAAAACTTTGCTTTTATAATTCCCTAATTAACTTTATTGTAAATTATTAGGTGTACTATAATCAACACATTCTTCACGATACATAATTAAGTATTTTTTTTTCATAGAATAAAAATTTTAAGACTTAATATGTTTTTAGTTTCTCAAATTTAAGATAAATTTATTTTTAATCCTTAAAATGTAAAATAGATTTTTTTAGTTTATGTAATTTTAAAAAATCTCATTTTAGTCCCTATCAGTGAAAACATCATATATAAAATCAATTGATATCGTATGACTATATAATCTGTCACTTTCATATATGTTATTGGTGAGTTAAAAGATTAAAATAAGATTTTTAAAAATTTGAGAGATTAAAAACAAAACCTATTCCTAATTTATGAGATTAAAAATGTATTTAAGCTAAATCTTAAATATATGTTGCATAAATTTAATTGAGATTATGGACATTATTATGTAGAATTACCTGATAAATTTTTCCATCTTTGATGTTGTTGGCATGCACATGTTCTCAATTTAATATTTCTTTTGTTTCATAATAAGTGTTACATTAACAGAGAAAATAAATATCAAAATTAGTGTTATGATAATTTTTTAATACAATATTAATTACATCTTTTTCATTTATACTCCTAATAATATTTTATATAATAAATGAGTTTTGTGTTACATTATTTATAATAAAGAAGATTAATCATAAGATTAATTTTATAAAATCATTATTATTTTCATTTATTTATTTACTTTTTTTTTATCCGTGTAGAATAACTTAAAACAACATTTATTATGAAACAAAAGAAATACCATCTAACACTTAAGTTAAATAAAGTTCATGAATATATTACAAATCAAAATTGAAAATCATGTCATAATCGAGAATAAGAATAGAAATTATTAAATCATTGATAATTAAAATTATACTCTCTCTGATTTTGAATATATGCGAAAAAAAAAATTTGTTTATCTTAAATATGAATAAATTTTAACTAATTACTCTCTATTTAACATTATTATCCCTAAAATACACATTCATTTAATTGAAATTATATTTTAATGTCTCTTTTTATTCTTAAATTCAAGTTTCAAGAAATTTAAGAAAATAAGTTATTTTTAATAAAATTAAATAATGTAAATAATTTTTTTAATCAGCTTGAATGATTTTTTTCTTATATTTATATCACTAGAGAGAATACAAATTACCTCTCTTAGTCGTTTTATGACAGCATATTGTCAGATAAACCTACGGCTAACACCTGCATTAATTGTCATTGTCTTCCATCTAATGATGATGACCAAGATTGCGATTAGTAACACCAAAGTCAACTTAGGCTTTTGAGTGGGATAGTGCCTATACTTTTGTATTATCAAACACTTTCTTCTGCTTTTACAGCTATTGAAGACATTGACACCAAAAACTACACAAAAAACACCTATAAAACATTTATAACCATTTTTGCTTATTAAACCCACAATTTTTTTTTCAATATCTATTTTCAAATAAAATGAAAACTCAAACTTTTCCTATAAATGCATTTTTTTTCTCTTATTTTCCACACACATCCTTCTTTAGAGGCAATTTGAAATATATAAGTAAGGGTACCTGATTTTAAGCACCTCTCTATGTAAAGATTTGTTCACTGCGTTAACCTGGTACCTATAATAAATGCATTTGATGATGAATATAATGAATGTGAACTAGATGGCTTTTTCTCCCAATTTGTTTTTTTTCTTCTTTTTTTTTTTTATCATGAAAATGTAGTACATTTCTTCTTTCTTTATGGATGCAATATAATTCATTGAGTTTATTTTTTATTCTTTTGATTTTTTATATTTTATTTATATTTGATTCTTAGACTTCCTGGAAAGTTAGTCAAATCCCTTACTATGCCCAGCAATCTCTTGGTTTTGAATGGTGATTAGTTGAGCCCAATATTGTTCAGTTTGACAAAGGCGAAATATTGTTCCAGATTTTAAGAGCTTAGATCCATGGAAAGACAATCTATATATTGAGCCCAATATTGTTCAGTTAGACGAAGAAGAAATCACAGTAAATTAACCCAGCTAGCGGTGTAAATAGTAATGGACCCAAAAATTCTACACAAAAAAAGGTTCATGTATACTGGTCTCCGCGGAAGTTTTTTTCTTCTATACATTTTTTTATTTATAAGTACACCTCCTTTATTTTTTTTAAAAAAATATTTATAAAATTTTTTATTCTTTAATTTTTTTAATTTTATATGTCCAACTTTCAATTACTATTTTTTTTTTCATTTTCACATACCTCATTTCTTCTCTCTTTCAGTTTTCACATATACCATTTTGTCTTCCTCCAATTCCCTACTTATTTCAATAGGTAGCTTTAATTCTCTCAATTCTTAAACTACTCTCTTCTCCTCTCATCCTTTTCACTTTTTCACATGCACCTAAACCGTAAAATTAGTATGCGACAACATTGTAGGTACGTGCGCCTACCTTGACAGTTTCTCTCTTCAAACACTTCTCC